TGGGGCCAGCACCATTCGTCTGCTTACCTCCCTTCGGGTGAGTCCCTCCCCTGCTTTCTCCTGACGGGGTAGGGGCGCCTGCCTGGCCCGAGAGGCCGGTTCACGTCTGTCCACCGGCTTCTCCTGAGCTCAGGCTCGTTCCCTTAAAGTGTCCTCTCTCGGCGTTGGACTCGTTTGCCGTCGTTGCCATTTCCGTTTGTCATTTCAGTCTCTTGGGTTTAGTGTTCGGGTGGTTTCGTTTTGTTTCGTTACGCAATGTTCCCTGCCAGCTCACTCGCTCCTGGTGTTTCCCCTTTAACTGGTGATGCTCCTTCCGACCACAGGCCAAGCACACCCAGGAGGGCTGTGAGACCTGGGGTGTGAACGGGGAGACCGGCACTCTGGTGGACATGAGGGAGCTGGGCATCTGGGAGCCCCTGGCTGTCAAGCTGCAGACCTACAAGACGGCAGTGGAGGTGAGGCGCCCTGAGACCTAGACTGCGCCGTTTCTTTGCACAGAAGCAGAAGCCAGGGTGCTTGGTGCAGTCTGGAAGGGAGGGGTATAGTATGGAAGACAGAGTATTCTCCAGAGATCAAGGAATTCGCCCCCTGCTTCGCCCATGCGGAAAGCAAGGTGACCTAGCGTAAGCCGCATCCCCTCTGGAAAGGTGGATTTCAGATAAAATGCTAATTACGTAGGAGGAGCTAAGTGTTGCCTTTAGAAGAAAACAAGTGTCCCTCCGCTCTCTGCTGACCTCTGTGGCGCTGTGGTGTTTCTCCTAGACGGCAGTTCTGCTACTGCGGATTGATGACATCGTCTCCGGGCACAAGAAGAAGGGTGACGACCAGAGCCGGCAGGGCGGGGCCCCCGATGGCGGCCAGGAGTGAGTGGTGGGCAAGGCGGCCTCAACGCACAGAGCCAGCAGAGGCTCCCTCTTCCCTGAGCCAGACTGCCAGGGACACTGGATGTCTTTGTTTGGAGGGATCAGGTTGAGGGGCGGCCCCGGCCCCTTTCTGTCCCAGCTCGGTTCGCAAAAGGCGCTGACACGTAATTCCTCTCTATTGTAAGCTTTCCACTTAGTTTGCTTCCGATGATTAAATCTAAGTCATTTGAGATGATTGTTATTTGTTTTTCAACCTTGGTCGTATCTCTGCCTCCTGGCAAAGAGGGAGGAGGCAGAAGACTGTCCTGGGGAGGGAGGGAGGGAGGGAGGGAGGGGAGGGATGGGAATGAGGTAAGTGCCTCCTTGAAGGTATTTTTCAGACCTTCTCAGAGATGCTGGTTGGGAAGACTCTGGGAGTTCATACTTTATTTTAAATTTTTTAATGTTTATTTACTGTCGAGAGAGAGAGAGCATGAGCGGGGGAGGGGCAGAGAGCGAGGGAGACACGGAATCGGAACCAGGCTCCAGGCTCCGAGCTGTCAGCACAGAGCCTGACGCGGGGCTCAGACTCACGAACCCTGAGATCATGACCTGAGCTGAAGCCGGACGCTTAATGACTGAGCCCCCCAGGCGCCCCAGAGGGTCATACGTTAAAGCTTGAAGAAGGACCGCTTTGTGTTCACCACCCCAAGAACAGGAGGAACCTGTCCAGACCGTGGGTGTTCCCACGTGTGGCTGTGTGTAGAGCAACACCCAGTACGTGCCAGGGCTCAGGCACTTGTCCTAGAAAACAACATGCGTTTTTTCTATCGTGTCCTATAACTTTTCAGAATCCCTCCTATCTTATCTGGAATTCTCCTCTGCCGCTGTTCTTTCTGGCAGCAGTCTGTTCTCTGTTCTCCTTGTGTCACAGGAGGGCCTCCGCTTCCCCTGCCGGCAGAAACAGAGGGTTTCGTCTCACTTCGTGCTTTGTTTTTATCCAGGGAAAAAGTGGTGGCCGTGGGATGCTGGAGGCTAGGTGGGGCTAGCCTTTGGTTTCTTCGCTGCCCTTCCTCTTGGCTACTGGGCCTTCCACGTCCCCTTTGTCCTTATGATTCATACACTCAGCCTTTATCTCCTCCCTGATCTCAGGACTTAGTCACGTTAGGTTGAATACTAGGTAGAATAATGGCACATAGTCCCTCCCGTGTGATAAACGTTCTAGCCAGTTTGCACATATCGGCTAATCCTCATAAGACTAAGATTGGCAACATCCCCCGTTTTACAATGGAGAATCTGCCTGACAGAAAGCTGGTGAGTGGAAGACGGAATTGCTGCGTGGGGAGTCTGGCTCCAGAGCCGTGTTCTCAGCCGGCCGTGCTCCCCACATAGGAGGCGCAATGGGGCTCTGGAGGCCTCTTGTCTGTTCACACCCGGGTCTGGCTTCCTGCTTAGCCCACTAGGAGGTCGTTGGCTTTTCCTCTCCTCTGAGGGGATCTGAGATAAGCCTGTTTTTTCCTGAAATCCCTGCCTCTTATTATTTTTTTTTTGAAGTTTTTGTTTAAAATTTTTTTATTTTAGAGGGACAGCCCAAGTAGAGGAGAGGGGTAGAGTGGGGGAGAGAGAGAATCAGAGCCTGCCTGACATGGGCCTCGATCCCACATCCCTGGGATGGTGACCCGAACTGAAATCGAGAGTCAGACGCCCAACCAGCTGAGCTACCTGGGCGCCCTCCCTGCCTCTTTACTGGCCGTGCTTGTCATTCTGTCTTCGAGAAAGACAATGGATTAATCTCAAATAAGTGAATAGATGTTGACGAAGTAGTGCTCACAGGACCGGAGAAGTTACAGAGGAAGCTCGTCACGCCGTGAGGATCCCTCCCTCCCGTTTGTGATTTGCCCTGATGTCCACTCTGGTTGCAGTTGGGACTTGGGTGGCTGCTGGGTAAACAGGGGCTTTCCTGCTGCTGTCGGAGCCTCTCCTCTGGGGGCACCTGTGTGTCCTGGGCCCGTGGAAATCCCTTCTGGCAAGTTCGATCTGGCAAGTCTGTTCTCCCATCTGGCGTTCAAAGGCCCTTAGTGCTGCCCGGGCCGAAACAACATTGGGATTGCGGGCTGCCCACAACGTGTTCTGTATTGCCTGGCGTGAGTCTCCATCACTAAACTGTTGCGTGAACACAGCTTTGCCGCCTCCTTGACTTTGCTCATGGTCCTTCGTACTGTCAGACCCTTACTGTTCTCCTCTAAAGCAACATTTCTTTGGGTGGCGGGGAGGCTTGGATTCCAGACTACTCCGGCCCTCCGTACTCAGCCAGCACTCTTGTTTTCGCTTGCCCTTGTCAGGTCCCGGAGTTGAGACTCAGAAGATACAAGTTACTTGTCTCAAAAATGAGTTTTTTGAGAAGACTTGAGTTCGTCCTAGAGTAGCCATTTTGGGGGAAAATGAAATTGGATTCCTACTTCATTGTTTGCAAAATTAATTCGAGGCAGCTGAAAGATTTAAATACAAGCAAGTGAAACTAGAAGAAAACAGATTTTTAAATGTATTTATCACAGTGGGGAAAAATAAGGGCAAAAAAATTTACGTGCTGAGTACAAAGTGTGTGGGGGGGTGATATTTGTACCAATACAAAGGTGAATTTCTTGGGGCGCCTGGGTGGCGCAGTCGGTTAAGCGTCCGACTTCAGCCAGGTCACGATCTCGCGGTCCGTGAGTTCGAGCCCCGCGTCAGGCTCTGGGCTGATGGCTCAGAGCCTGGAGCCTGTTTCCGATTCTGTGTCTCCCTCTCTCTCTGCCCCTCCCCTGTTCATGCTCTGTCTCTCTCCCAAAAATTAAAAAAAAGTTGAAAAAAAAAATTAAAAAAAAAAAAAAAGGTGAATTTCTTTACATAATTTTCAGAATGTGGCGGTCAAGACGATTGGGACTACAGAAAAATAGGCAAACAACAGCTCCAGAGTGACTGTAGAACAGGAGGTGTTCCACCTAATTCAGCGGGAAATGCAAATAAGCCTGGTAAAGACTCAGCGAGGGTGGGGGAAAACAGGCCCTCTGGTCTCAGGCAGAGGTCAAGTCCACCTGGCAGCTCGAATCCTGACTTTATCTTACAGATTTGGGTTCAAATATATATGAAATGCACTACATACAGGGATATTCATTTCAATGTTCGCCGTAGCCAGATGTTGGAAACGCGAGGTTCTGGTCAAACATATCCATGGGACGTCCCCCTGCAGTGTCACTGGAAGACCAGTGGACAAAGGCAGTGCCAGGTGCATTGATACAGAACAGTCCTCCATGTGCAAGTGAAAATGAAAAAGCAAGCTGCAGAGTGGTGTCTGGATGCCAATGTGTGGTATCGCCTGTCTGTACATACATGCAATATGTGTATACATGTGGCAAGTAAGCTGTAGGGCCAGCCTGGCGCTTGAACTCACAACCCCGAGATCAAGAGTCCTGGCATCCCTGCATAGAATGTCTTCGGAAGGACTCAAAGGTAACAGTGGTTGTTTGAGGGAAAGACCCAAGTCACTGGGGAATAAAGGTGATACCTTTTGGTAACTTATGAATTTTGTGTCCTATGCATTTATTATTAGCCAAAATAATTAGCCAAAATAATTTTAAGCAGAAACACCGAAGAACAACAAAAAGCGGGTTTGTTCAGCCAGACAGGAGCTCCTTTGCAAATACTACGTGCTGTTCTCACATCCTATTTACTGACGTCTCTCTTCTCCACAATAAAACCGTGAGCTCTTCTAGGACAGGAACCGGCGTACCCGGGGGCTCCATAAATATTAATAATTGACTAAAAAGAACTATCTGGGGTCTGCTGTCTTCGCCCTGGAAGTCCTTCAAATCCCTCTGCCTCCCTCACTGGTCCCAGTCAGTTTATTGGGATCCATTCGGATCTTGAATGCAGACACCCTGGCCACTTGTAGGCAAGAGCGGGGCCAGTCGGGTAGGAGAGGCCGCGAGTGTGGCTGTGCACCTGTGCAGGCTGGGACGCCTCGCAGCCCCAGGGGACGAGTTGCTCAAGCTGGAATCTGGGTTGAAGGAGGCGGTCTCTTTAAGAGCTGCTGGCTTGGCCCCGCCCTGCAGACAGATCAGCTGCATCTGGGAGTCACATGACTGCGGTGTGTCTTCCGCCCTCGGAGGTTGGGGCCGCATGTGCGGCTCCGAGGGGCCCCGCCGGGGCTGGGGGCGCTGTGCCCCCAGCCCCATCCTCCTCCTGAGTTTGCTTGCGTCTGCAGCCCCGCTTGGCCTGCTGGGGGAGGAGACCCGCCAGGTGAGGGGCTAGAGCAGTAGATGTTTCGGGAAACGCAACCCTGGGAGGGAGCTTGGAATCCGGGGGGCACCCAAGGCGCAGGGGTGGGTGGCTGCTCGGAGACGAGTTCTTCAGCCAGGGCTCCTGGGACAGGACTGTGGAGGAGGGCGGGTGTGAGGGTTCCCTGTCTTCCGGTGGAAGCTGGGCCCTGACTCAGCCCTGAGCGACCCAGGTCTGGGCGAGCGTTGGGCTGCTTCTCCCCCAGCCCCTGCCCTGCGCCCTCATCCGTCCGCTGGGGGCGGGGCGGTTGTGGCTCTGCCCTCCTCTCCCCCAGCCCTCAACCCGCCTCCTGCCTTTCCCCATCACGTCCAAGCTGCTTTGCCCTGTGTCTCTCCCCCGACCCTGTTCCCTTGACCCTCCACTGCTCCGTGTTCTAGGTGTCTCTGGAGGTCATCCCTCCCGGGCTGGACGCCCCCCAGAACCTCCTGCACATCCGGGCGGTGGGAACCAACTCCACGCTACACTACGTGTGGAGCAGCATGGGGCCTCCGGCAGTGCTGCTCGTGGCCACCGACACCCCCCACAGCACCCTGAGTGTCAACTGGAGCCTCCTGCTGTCCCCTGAGCCTGACGGGGGCCTGGTCGTGCTCCCCAAGGACAGCATCCAGTTCTCTTCTGCCCTTGTCTTTACCAGGGTGAGGAGGTTGGGGGAGAACCAAGGGGGAGCGTGTGCGGAGCAGAGGGTTCATCCGGATTCGAGGGAGGGACTGAAGACGGGGTACGGGAAGCAGTCAGGTACGGGAGCCTGCGGGTGGGGGCCCGTGGGTGGTGGTGGTTCCGGGGACAGCTGGACTCAGGCAAGCCCTGCCCCACCTCACCCCACCCGCCAGCTCTTTGAATTTGATGGCGCCAACACATCCGAGGGGGCCGAGCCTCCGGGAGAACCGTGTCCCCCGTATCCCCTGGCCAAGTTCTCCTGGAACAATATCACGGACTCATTGGATCCTGCCACCCTGAGCGCCACATTTCGAGGCCGCCCCACCGACGACCCCACCGGGGCTTTTGCCAATGGCAGCCTCACCTTCAGGGTAAGGGTGTGGGGAAGCAGAGGAACTCAGAAGGCTGGTTTATGAGGGTGGGGGTGCCCTTCAAAGCCAGGCCTGCCCCCCTGCTTCCCGTCCTCCCCCACCTCCCCCATCCCAGGTGCAGGCCTTCTCTGGATCCGGCAGACCAGACCAGCCCCCGCGCCTCCTGCATTCGGCCGACACCTGCCAGCTAGAGGTGGCCCTGGTCGGGGCCTCTCCCCGGGGAAACCGCTCCCTGTTTGGGCTGGAGGTAGCCACCCTGGGCCAGGGCCCCGACTGCCCCTTGATGCAGGAGCAACATTCCATCGACGATGAATATGCACCTGCTGTCTTCCAGGTCAGGCCTTCAGCAGAGAGGCGGGTGGGTGGGGGGATGCGGGAGAGAATCATGGAACCGTTTATCTTTTAGCGACATAGTTCGGCTCCTTTAAGTGACGGTCACTGTGCTGACAAATCTCTGCCTTCAGTGGAGAAGACGGAAGGCGGGCCTGGGGGCCTGGGGGTCTGGGGGCAGGAGCTGAGTACAGGTTTGCAGAGGGTTGGGGCTGGAAAAGGACCCAGTGCCCGTGGCCCAACTCCCCTTCCGACAGAGGAGAGATTAAGGCTCTGTGCCAACAGCCTGTGAGTCCTTGAAGCAGACCCAGGACTCAGGACACCTAGTGACAGTTGGAGGCCGGGAAGGGTGGGGGAACAGAAGGATTGGGCACAGGCTGGTCCTCCTCAGCCTGTGGCTTGTCTTTCTCCCCAGGTGAACCAGCTGCTGTGGGGCTCCCTCCCATCCGGCTTCGTGCAGTGGCGACCAGTGGCTTTCTCCCAGAGGCAGAGGGGCCGGGAATCAGCCCTGCCCTGCCAAGCTTCCCCTCTTCACCCCTCCTTGGCATACCTCCCCCAGTCACCCATAGTCAGAGCCTTCTTTGAGTCCCACAATAACTTCTGTGCCTTCAATTTGACATTTGGGGCTTCCACAGGCCCTGGCTACTGGGACGCACACTACCTCAGTTGGTGAGGGCCTGGGGCAGGGCGGGGGTGCTGAGCCGGGGCTTTGGGAGGGGACGTGGGGGAGCCTGGCCTCCCAGCGTATTCGTCTAATGTGCTCACCTCTGTTTCTCACTTGTGCTTGCCTCAGGTCGACGCTCCTGGGTGTGGGCACCCCTCCATTGGACACCTTGTCCCCACTAGTCCTAGGCATCATGGCGGTGGCCCTGGGTGCCCCGGGGCTCATGCTGCTGGCTGGAGGCGTGTTTCTGCTGCTGGGCCACAGGCAGTGCTCAGAATACCAGCCCATAAACTGAGGCCCGCTCTCTGGAGGGCTGGACATTGATCCCCGGACTTGCCCTGCTGGTCTGCCAGACGGGGGGTCAGCTGCTCCCTTCCCCCACCTGGCTTTTCTGCAGAACATCAGGGACACCTCCACCTTTCCGGAGAACCCCCAGATGGGGCTGCCCTCCTACTCTGGGGAGGGCCAGGGGCAGGGCGATGGCTGGAGGGAGGGTCCCTTGGTGATGCCTTACTGCTCCTCTGCCCCCATTTCCCTTAAATGGGACTCACAGGCCTAAATGAGAGGCCTTCTGACTGACTGGCTGCCCTGGAGGGCACGAAATAGACTCATTTTCTGCCCTGGGCTCCTCTCTCGGTGTGTCGGTGTCGCGGGCTGCTGTGCGGCCGGTCCTGGGAATGGGGGGCGGTGGGAGGGGCGTGGGAGGCACTGCTCCAGTGCGGCCCCTTCTCACCAGACATAGCTTCCCTCCCTGCATGGGACCAGGCTGCCGCCAGCCTCACTCCGTCATGTGGAGAGAGTCTGATGCAGCTTGGGTCTGACGAGGAAGGGACGCTTGAGAGCGGGGGGCGACCACAAAGAAGAGCCGGGGAAGTTGTGGCAGCCATTTATTGTCAGACACATGGTCAGATGGGGTCGACGTCGGCCACTGTGCCTTGCAGCTGCTCCCCAGCCAGCACACACGTGGGTGCTGGCACACACATACCCCTGCCCTCTGGGGAGGCAGGCCTCCCCCTCTGCACCTCTTCCCATGGGAGGGGCGTGGCGGCTTCTGGGCAGTTCGGAGGCCGGAGGTTCGAGGGGCCTAAATAGGTTGGAAGACCGGAGGCCGCAGCTCTGGCGGGGGCAGTTTTGATCATCTCGACGGAGGCTAAAGATCCTACAAAGGCCAGTCGTGGAGGGTCCTGAGCCCAGGGCCCCAGGAAGGTTTTCACCAAATGTGGAAGTCCAGTTTGGTGGGATGCCCAGCCTTTATCTTGGGCACGGGCAACACTTCCAGTCTCCCCGAGGCCCTCTGCTTGGACAGCGGCACAGAAACGGTCAGTTTGGCTGTGGCTCAGCCCACTTGGTGCCTCACGGGAGGCTGGAGGCTGGAG